GGAAGTTCTGCAATTAAAGCAGGATTTACAGGATAGAAGCCAAAGGCTACTGAAAGCTGAGCTAAAACTCTACTGGAATAAGGAGTTTATGGACTGTGTATGTTTTCACTACACGCAGTCATCCTGGGAAAAATCCATGTATGCTCTATGCGCAAGAGTGTTCCATGAGTGAACATAGTCAGAACTAAATGGTGAAGATGATGCAGATGTTTCTACTACCCAGTTTCACTCAACCCTCCTCTGCCACCACGAGGCTGTATTCTCCCTGAACAGCTACAGTTCTGCATACCTTCCTGTTTGAGCGCGCTCCCCCTTCCCCATGGTGTAAAAATTGTGACTGAATGTTGGGAGTTCTGGATTCTCACTTTGGTCCTATCGTTGCTGTTCCATGACTTGCCATAACCAGGTTAAATCATTTCCCTTCTCATTTCTGGGAAAGAAACACATTGCTGGCTCCCCCTGCCAGGGTGCCAAAGATGAATTCTGTGGAACCCACAGCACTTCAGGCGTGCTCGGTGCCTAAGAACGGAATTGGTAACGTGCACGCCTCAAGGCTGGGATGCGATCTACCTTTGTCACAGCGCACCCGACGTGGAGGCCAGCCACCCCTACAAACGTTTCTTACCAGGCCATTGCTGGAATGCAGGACCACAGCTCCGTATCTGCACTGGGTTTCCCTCTCTCAGCCCTATGCATGGAGAACATCCACCTGCCGTAGCTTTCTATTCCTCCTCTCTGCTGCAGAAGCATTACAAAATGGAGATCATCAGGGCTCAGGATTAAGGCTAGAGTCTCCATCCCTAGGGCTTCAGAACTTCAAATTAAGTAAAAAGGAAGACAGAGTACTGGTTAGAAAAGAAGCGATAATACAAATCAGAAGGGACTGCTGTTTCTTCCCAGAGAAAAGAAGCTGTTTTCTAAAATGTGTATGTGTAGGAATGAGACATCTGCCAGAGAAATCTCCCTCAATTCTTGCTGGCAAAACTGTAAGCCCTTTGAGGACTACTGGGTATGATTGTTTTAAGGGTTTTAAAAAAAACTCTTGCTCTGCATGACAATCGCTGACATGTTAAGAGTCAGTCCTTCTCACAGCCAGACCCCCACCGAAATCACAGCCGTAGAGTTCCACCCGAAGGGCAATGCCATGATACCACGTTCTTGGAACAATGCGGATAAACCTGGACAGGATGGGTGGATTAAAGAAATGCTTGACGTGCCCACTGCTGTTTTCATTACCCATGAAGACCTGCAAATACACAAACACATAATCAGTTAAAAGGCAACACTTGGACAAAACTGCTTTTTCTTTTTAAAGTGGTTCCAAGCTGTTGCACCAGTCATCCAGGGTAGGTGGACTGGCTCATTTCTGATTTTCCGTAAGACCACATCCAGCCTCTTCCTAAAACGTTGGGTCAAAGCTAGTTCAGGCCAGCAGTAATTGAGGCTGAATAAACGAAACAGCTTCTGTTTCCATCTACAGCATGAAATTTGCCATTTTAATTTCGAGGGACTAAAAAAAAAAAAAACACCACCCACAAACCCCAAACTTCCCTTACTTTACCTCTGTTAAAAGCTCTTGTGGCAATATGGGTTGGTGATGTGGGCAACAATATAAAGTACTGTGACTGCTCTGTGGGTACCTGGAGCTCCCCAGCTCTGTTACAGCAAAACTGCTCACTAATACAGAACCATGGAATCATTTGGGTTGGAAGGGACCTTAAAGACCATCCAGTTCCAACCCCCCTGCCATGGGCAGGGACACCTTCCACTAGACCAGGTTGCTCAAAGCCTCATCCTGCCTGGCCTTGAACACTTCCAGGGATGGGGCATCCACAGCTTCTCTGGGCAACCTGTTCCAGTGCCTCACCACCCTCTCCGGGAAGGATTTCTTCCTGATATATGAAGTTCACTTATAAAAATCAAGACAGAAATAAAAAAAAAAAGCCAAAAAGGGGCCCTGGGAAATCCATTGTTCATTCGAACTGAATGTCCTCATGCATTCAAATTAAATGTCCTCCTTCACAAACAGTGTCAGCTCCTTTTATCACAATGTTGACTGCATTTTCTACAGATTTGGAATACTTTCCTTTTATTACTGTTAACTACTACGATCAAAATCAGATGGCTGTTATGACATTATCTGTAATAATCTCAGCTCCCTGTGATTTTAAAATCCTGTGAGAATATCTCTTTGGCTGGGTTTTCTGCCTCTGGGCCTTGACTGTGCACAGCATCTAAAACCAAGCAATGATACAATTGCCTGAGCTGAGGATGATACCTTTGCCACTGAGCTTGAACCGTCTGTATAGGATTTCCACTCTGAGCCTTGGTCACTGTACTGGATAACATAGGTTTTCACAAAGTTTTCAGCAGTTACGGACTTCACCCCCTGGGTAGCAATAGCAGTTATCTTCTTAATTGTGAGGAGATCAATTTGCAGCCACTGTTGGTTGTTGTTCAACTGCAATTGATAAAAAGGGCGGTTAGCAAATATTTCTATGTCTTTGCTTGCTTAAGTGAAAATTCCTTTTTAAAGGTAGTTAAAACTACATCAAAAGGCATCAAAACTGTATCAAAGAAGCACAGAAGAGTAAAGCTGAGGCAAAAGTGACAAGCGTCCTTGGTAGTCCATACAGTTAACTTCTCTGCTGCAGATAGAGTGTTCGGTATATTAATATTTCCACATTAATTTCCAATACATCATGAAAAAGAGCACTGATTTACCTCCAGTATTAAAATGCAATACCTAACATTAATACCACATGCTTACACAAACAGTAGCTTCCAGCCAATCTCAAGGTGCTTTGTAAAGAAATGCAGCTCTTTTTTTGAAGGCACGGAAGCTGACACGCCACACTGAAGGTCACCCAGCCCCATTATTCATTAAGCTGCACTGCCTATAAACCAACCCAGAAAGGGTTTCTTGAACCCCTTGGAGTGGAATATTCAACTGGTATTCATCTCCTGAAATTAAAAGGGCTTCTTCTGCAGGAAGTGTTGCAGGCTCTGGCCCAGAGGACACCAATCCATCTCTCAAAACAAGATTGCACTGATGTTGCCAGAAGCTCAACAGGTTTCTACTGGAAGAGTTGACCAAGCTTCTTCCCAAAGGATGGCTAAAGAGCTGTGAAGTTACGTTATCACGCTTGGCACTGACACAGCATGCAGGAAGCGCCAAGGCACGCAGGCAGCACAGATTTATGAACTGTAGCTGCCTTGCCCCGTCATCCCTATTTTTCACTTGTTACCTTGGCCCGCCAGGCATTTATCTTTCCTTTCTGATTGAGACGAGCAAGCGAAGGGTCCCACGTGTTAAACCAGGATGTCTTAACAGACGAGGCTGTTATCTGGGTATTCTTGATCTCTCCGTTTTCCATTCCAAGCGGCAAAGAGCAACCTGTTAAGCAAAGCACCATGTTATCCCCAGTTCATCCGAGTAGCCACACCTGAAGCAACAACATTGGAATTGAGAACACCAACAATTTTAACTTCATTTAACATATTAGGTAAACAATTTGCCAGAAAAGAAGCACCAGCACACAATTTATTCTTACCATCTACTTCGCAGCCCAGAAGCTCCATGCGAAGAGTAGGCCTGTTGTAGGCCTCAGTTGGGTAGACTCTGATGTACCTAGCAATAATAGGGGGATCAATGATGTTCTCTTTTATCCCATAGGCATCGGAATTACCTTCAAAAATCTAATAAAGAAAAAAAGAAGAAAAACATATCCACATATAGTTAATTTAATGCAAACACAAGCTTGGATGCTGAAAGCCTGCTCTGTTACCAAACCAGTCTTTTTCACACCATCACCCCCATCCACAGTGATGGAGCGCCCTGTGCTGCAGGGCAACTTGAAATATTTCATAGTCCCATCTTGGCACATTTGGAAGCACCCAAATGCCTCAGTTCAAACGAGCAAGCCATTTCTGTGCATTGTGTAAGTCTGGAAGCAGACATTAGTGAAGGGGCAAAAGGAGAGGTAAGAGACAACAGGTTTTCAGTGGGAGTTGCACCACAGAAACCTCAGGGCACGCTGAAGGGAGCTGTAATTGTAGGGCTGGAGCAGTTGGGTGTAACACGAACCTCTTGCAGGGTACGACCACGTTTACTACACAGGCTTTCTCTGCAGGCAGTTCAGACAGGTTAACATTCAACTGCTGGGACAGCAGGAAGGGAGGCGCAAGGAGGAGGGTCTAATCCCACAGGAGGGGCCCAATTTTAGTTCAGCTTCTTGCTTGCTTGGAAAAAGCCGACGTGGGCGTAGGAATAAAAGTAGGGAGAGATGCTTGTGAGAAAGCTAGACTTCATATAGTCAAGATCCCAAGGCCAATCCAAACCCCAGTCTAGGAGGTTCCTCACATTACAATTTGTCTTCTGGTCTGAATTTTATCAGATGATAAATGCCCTTTGGGGCCTCAAGCTGTATGATTAGGTCTCTGAAGGCCACAATTTTTTCCACTATCTCTTAAAGCAAAATAAAATGGTTAACTCACTGCATCATCTGGTGATGCTACCTAGGTTGTCCCCACCCCTATGGCATGTACAGACCTTTTGTGCTGGAGAGCTGTCTCCTTTAAAGGTGTTCCACTTCCGTTTGTCTTTGCTGTAAACGATAAAGAACTTCTGGATGTACAAGGACTTTAAAAACTGCTTGGCTCCCTGCGTCTGTATCCCAGTTAACAGAACTTGTCTTTGAAAGTCCACCTAGAAACAGTGAGCAGTGTTTATAAAGCCATTAATGCACAGTGAAAACCGTCTTGTTCTTTGGCATATCCACAATAGCTTTGAGCCCTGCATTTAAAAACCCACAACACTAACACCCTCAGGCGGAATACGAGCAGATGCCAGAGTCCAAATTAACCCTGTCTCTCTCATCTCATTTGTGTACCTATTTGTGTGCGCATTTAGTTTCAAAGGCCATTTTACAGTGTTCAGCACAGCATCACAGACACCTCAAAAATATCTGTGTCCTCATGCTATACAGAACTCTGCATCTAGTTTTGGATTCCCAGACTGAGAAATGGGAAATGACATTCTGCAGTGCTGAAAAGCCACCGTTTGTGCTGATAAGGGCCAGTACTGACAGGACAAGGGGTAATGGGTTTAAATTGAAAGTGGGGAGATTTAGGTTGGATATCAGGAATAAGTTCTTTCAAGAGAAGGTGATGAGGCACTGGAACAGGTTGCCCAGAGAAGCTGTGGATGCCCCATCCCTGGAAGTGTTCAAGGCCAGGCTGGATGAGGCTTGGAGCAACCTGGTCTAGTGGAAGGTGTCCCTGCCCATGGCAGGGGGGTTGGAACTGGATGGTCTTTAAGGTCCCTTCCAACGCAAACCATCTGAGGATTCTATATTGGATCCAAAAACTTTGCACGTAAAATCAAATTAGCAATGTTTCTATAAGCAGTGAAACTCAATTCTTTGGGATATACCCTCCATACCTCTCCATGCTTTACTGCAGTCACCTCAAGCTTTTCACTGCCATGCCCCCTATCAAATTCCTTCTCTTTCCAACATTATTTCCAGTTCCATACCACATCCCCCAACCTCCTCTCCCCTACTTCAGCTCCCCTAACTTGCTAGCGTGTCAAATGTTAGCAAGCCAAACATAACAGCCACCCACTGAGCTTACATTGCAACACTAGTCTGAGCCTTTCTTTGGTCCCAACTGCCAATTTTAGTTGATTTATTACAAATGTCATTATCTTCCCTGAATTTGGGTGCAAAATTATCTGGCGCTGAAGTGATTGCAATGGAAGTAAAAGGTGGAAGAAGTGAGGTGACTGAATGGCATAATGCTTGAAGCCATAATTATAAGCTTGATTTCCCTGTGAAGCCACACTGTGCTATATCAAGCTGGACATAGGCAAACAAAAAAACTCCTATCTGAAGCAATGGCTGAGAGTACTACACTTGAAATAATCACCCAACAGTCACACAAAAATATAAGTACGTACTGCTAGGTAGATGGAGGGGCAAAAAAGTAATGGAAAGAATTACTCCATCTGCCTACAAAACAGTTACAGCCTGAACTGTGAGGGTAACTGTCCAGGCCTCAACAGCAGTAGAGACAAGGTTACTCCTGGGGAAGTGGACAGTTTATGGTATCACCAATCAAGCTTGCTGCATCTTTTCAGTTTTTCCCCAGCAGCCTTCTCTGCAAGAACAAGAGCAGCTTGATCTTTTAAAGCAAGTTGCAGGAAAATCACAACACAGGATCGTATGGCCATACCCAGGCTCAATGATGGTCAAGCACATGTTGTACCAACCATACCTGGATCCAAGGGAGCTCGTCTTTTCCCATTGTAGTGCTCCAAGCATTGTATGTTCCAGAATTGTTTAATCGGGCTAACTTAGGTTCCCAATAGTCTAGACAGAAAACATGAATAAAGCAAGAATTTAAATAGAGGTGCTAAAATAAAAATATGGAGGCTGTAACTAGATACTGATGGTGAGTGCTTCAGTTCTTTTCCTATCAGTCCTGGGGAAAAAACCCCAACCAATAGACTCTAAAACCATAATCTAGGATAATTTGGTTATGGTCAGCAACTAGAAGTTGGCTTTTACCCTGCAAAGTTTTGTAGTTGGCAGAATGACTTTAAAAATAACAGCTTTTTATGTAATGTACTACTGTCTACTGATTTGGAATGGGGGCCTAGAGTATGCTAAACAAGTTTTGGCCATCAGCAGGACCAGACACCAAATGTGCTCTACATTCATGGCAGAGTGCTTCCCTCTGCATAACGAGGTTTCCGTGTTAATGCTTCCCTCTGCATAAGGAGGTTACCGTGTTAACAACTGATATGAAATATAGATGACAACACAGCTTTCAAACCTTCATAGCACTGTGTCAGGAAATGAAGAAGAAAACTAAACTCACATAAAATCAGTTTTCCAAAATAAGTAAATTATTTGTTATTTTAAGGGAAAGGATGTGTTCTTAGATGCGTGTGTAACCTGTATACCTTCATTTGTCATTGTCCATGTAAAATTCTAGCAATTACTCTATCAAATGATCCCACTTTTATACCAGGAACAAACTTGATAAAGACACTGTCATTGCTCTAGATGCCAGGTTCCCAAATCTTCCATAACAGATACACTTTGCCCTTTCACACTGCATACCACATGCAAATCTCAAAAGCTTGTTGAACAGCTGCTGTTGGTTTTCAAGCAGGGAACCCAAAGGACAAAAAGATAAAGCTGTATTTGTTCCAGGTCATCCAGCAGGCCACAGAGAGAGGAATTCCTAACTCTCAGACTTGTGATATTGACAGCAGACCTGTGATGCCATTAAAATACAGTGATGAGGGCTACCTAGTACAGTTCACAATCCCTGCTTGCAGCACTGGAGAGCTTTTTAACCTGACAGTTGATTCACTGCTGAACAGATCTTCTAAGACATATCATGAGATGCCAAAAGAATATGGAACCACAATACTTTGCTGGGGATGTTCAGGAGCATGCCTGGACCTCTTCAAGTATTAACTCACCTACATGGTGTGAAGCGTTGATTTGTGAATCGAGTACAACTCCACTTGCTAGACCCATTGGAGTCCTGCATTCTAAAGAGAACACAGCAAGTTTGTTGTTAAAGAAAAGGAGGCCTGTTCCCATATATATTCTGGTGGAACTTTCTAAGACAACATGACTCTGAACAATTCTTAGCAATACTGTAACGTCACCACCCTCCTCCCAGAGAAGGCCAAGTTAATCTCTGCAATTTCTCTCTGCATATTAATCCTGTGGTCACAGTGAGGAAAGCTCAAATTCAAAGCTCGTATGCTAAAGGAATAAAGGTAGTATGCTAAATAATTCAAAGCTTGTATGCTAGAGGATAAACATTTTTTTCTTCTAGAAGAAATTTCTAGTAAACCACTCTACCCCCTCCTTGAAAGCACAGAGAATCTGCTTTGTGCTTTTTTTCAGAACAACCTCCCAAATTTATTTTTAGTGATCCTGAAAGGGTAAGACATGACCTTATAGCTTGACTCCCGCAGCCAAAGAACACCTTAGTTCAGTACCTTTCTCTATAACCAAATAGGATGCCTGCATTCCAACTTCGGTGTCTAAAAGCCACCAGCCAGTTCTCTGTGGTTTCATTTCAATTGTTTTAAATGAGCCTTGAAAAAAAGAAAGAAGAACATTTCAGAAACGTTATCACTATCAGGTTGATGTTAGTGAGGCTGGATGTTAAACCGCGGATCATCCTACGACTTAATCCAGACAAATTAAATGCCCTGTGACACATTGCAGAGGAGCACGATAACTACCACCATCACAAAAACTGTTTTCTTAGCAAGCAGTTTTCAGCTGGAGACTAATATTGGAATTAAGTGGTCAGATGAAAACCTAACCTTTGCTGTTGGTGCAAAGTACAAAACCTTGGCTGCCTGTAACAGCAGGTATCTGCACATTATGTACAGTGCTGAGCCATGAAATGACCAGTGCTGTTATTACATAACGTAGGGATGTTAATTCTGTGGTGCTGATTATAGCTCTCACTCCTGCTGCCTCAGTGTGTTGTTCAAGTAATGTAAAGGATGGGTGTAAAGAAGCCAAAAGCAGATGTGGCAGATTCAGATGTATGGGCCCTCCCCTCGCTTTCTGCATGCCACAGGAGTGCTAAGGATTGAGCGGGAAGCGAGTATAGTTTAGGCTGTTTGCTGCACTTTACAGAAAGCACAGTCTTCATTGCTTTTCTTATATTCCTCATTAAGGCAGACATGATGATTCTCGTTCCCCTACAAACAAAAGCATATGTAGATGTCATAGGATTTTTAAGGTGATGTTTTTCACTAAGTAGTGAATAAGCCACCCAGTATTTGCTAAAATAAACTCCTGTTATTCTAAGCCAATCCCATTATTTTGGTCTCCTTGTTTCCTATTTTCTCCACTCCCAAACACTTGTAGCCGACAATACAGGCTCCATAAGTACAGTAATTGCACAGTCGCACTGCTGACAGTGACAGGCAACGGGGTATATCCTGTGGCCTAAATGAATACTTTTAGCCTATTTCCTTTCTTCCTGGACATAACAACTCTCCTAGGGCTCACATTTGTTTTCTCTCTTCTGTATCACACTCATCTTGACCTAACCACCATACTAACCATACTGAGCCAGATCACAACAGTCTTTCCCAGCAAAGATCAGGGAGACCTCAGTGCTACTGAAGCCTGGGGACACATGAACAGGGCGGCTGTACTATGTACGTTTGCCATTTCATGAGGAACTGGTGGCTGACACTATGCTACTGACTTCCCTTTTCTCAATACTGGCCTTCACTGCTGAGCACCTTCCAAAGCTAAGCCCAGCACTATGAGCTCCTTTGCAGACAGGAAGGGAGAGGGATGCAGTAAGGGGCATAAACATGCTCATGCTCACGTATCTGGTGAGTGGCAAGGAAAGTGCAAAACAGAAGGCTTCCCCTCATCTGAGAGAAAGACGTTTGCCCAAGCCCTTAAATTTCACCTGTAACTTTATTCATATTTCCAGTTTTAAAGGACACCAAGGTTATTTTTATTTCCCCTCTCCCACAGTGTTAAGTGAGGTGCAAAGCGATGATCCTCCTTCTGACCATCATAGGCAAATGAAGTATTGGTGCTCTCAAACTCTTACTGTGCCCAAAGTCAACTTCTTGACATTGGTATGGTGATGTCAGACTGCAAGGACCACCCTTTAAAACTTATTCTGCTCTCTTACTTACCTGGAAGGAGTGTATATGTGCCAAGTTGATGCTTTGGCTCTCCTTGTTCTACGAAGGTCTGTCCATGAAAATGAACAACATGAATGTCTTTTGGCCCACCCATGTTCAGCAAATGCCACCGGACCAGTTCGCCTTCATACATCCTCAAGCCTTGCAAATTGTAGGTAATCCCATTAATGGCTGAAAAAAAATACTGTTAGTAAGGAAAACCGCTCACAAAACTGGTCTCTAAAGTGCTAGAATGTAGTTATTAAAAGGAGTAAAATATTTAACAAGGTTAAATATTTAACATTTGAGAAAAACACCACTTTTTCCAAGCCAAAGTGCTACAGACTTTATAGTCTATGTGCATCAATAACAAGGTAATGCATTTGAGAAAAACACCACTTTTTCCAACCCAAAGTGCTACAGACTTTATAGTCTATGTGCATCAAATTCAGAAAATCCAGGGGCCTCACCATGGGATTTGCTTGCAACACATGGCAGCCAGGAGAACAAGGAGGAGGAAGAAATTGTCAGATGGAAACATCAAGCCCAAAACACAACGTGTTCTGCAGCTTGCATGTCCACAGCCAGCACCACAGCTGACATCTCCGATGAACAACTGACTGTGTAGACCACATCTTCTCAAGGCAATTCTCAACATGCCTTTTTTAAACGTGAGCACTTACAGCACACAAGCATCAGATTTTCAAAGTCAGAAACACAGAGGTTCATTACTGACCATTATTTCAAAAAGAAAAATGGACTACCTTTGAACAGTTAGCCACATACTTAACTCTCTGTGACTAAAATCTCAGCATCCACAGAGAGGTATATGGAGGGCTGTCCTACAGCTGCTCTGAATTCTTGTATTGATTGATTTGTCAAATTATTATATTTTTAGTTTTCTTGCAAATGTTTTTAAGACATTAGCTTTTTACTGAACAGAGGGTGTTTTGTTTTTTTTTTTTTTTAAATATGGGGAGTGAGAAGTTTTCTGTTGAAAGTTTTTGTCTAATATGTTCCTTTTTCATTTTAATAACACATTTCCAGTCAATGCTAATATTTACATATAAAACTATGAGTATTCTGGGTACAATGGAGAACAACAACAACCACCTTTCACATAATTAGTGTGTAGGATTTATGCATGTTCAATGTCACAGTGAGCTGAGATACATCCCCCAACACCTTTCCCTCTACCCCAATACACTGAATAACTGGTAAGATGAATTAAGTACCATAGAATCTGTGGCACTGCTGCATTTCTTGGGTCTTCTCAGTACAAGGCCTTCTAGAACGTTTGTCAAAGTACCAGCTTTTCTCTTCATCAAAGACCATGAAAAGCAAGAAAAAGTCTCGGGTCGATGTTTTGCTGTTGTTCGATTTACTGAAGGTTCCTTTCTGACAGATCAGTATTGGCCCAATCAAACCAGAGTGAATATCTTTCTCCTAGAAGGTAATAAACTCATATGAGATGTAAAGTGCATTTCCTAAAAGATGTCAAAAACCCAGCATTCTATAGAAATGCATCCGGCCGTAAAATTTTATAAGCAGAGGTCAGAATTGCCGTGGGTTTCTATCTTTACTTTCCCCTGCTCAATCTAGCAAGATGGTCCCCAGTTTCAATTCTTAACAGCTTATATCCTCTTTTAACTGAGTGCAAGAGATTAAATGTCAGATGGGAACATCAGACCCAAAAGAAAGGACAACTATCCAAAACGTATTCTGCAGCTTGCATTTCTACAGCCATACAGTAACACAGAACCATGGAGTGGTTTGGGTTGGAAAGGACCTTAAAGACCATCCAGTTCCAACCCCCTGCCATGGGCAGGGACACCCTCCACTAGACCAGGTTGCTCAAAGCCTCATCCAGCCTGGCCTTGAACACTTCCAGGGATGGGGCATCCACAGCTTCTCTGGGCAACCTGTTCCAGTGCCTCACCACCCTCTCCGGGAAGAACTTCTTCCTCATATCCAACCTAAACCTCCCCACTTTCAATTTAAACCCGTTACCCCTTGTCCTGTCACTACAGGCCCTTGGAAAAAGTCCCCCCCAGCTTCCTTGTAGCCCCTTCAGGTACTGGAAGGCTGCAATGAGGGCTCCCCGGAGCCTTCTCTTCTCCAGGCTGAACAAGCCCAATTCCATCATTTGGAGATATTCAAAATGTGACTGGACATGGTCCTAGAGGACCTACTCTAGCTGACCCTGCTTGAGTTGGGGGTGGTGGCCCAGCTACTTCTAGTGATTCCTTCCAACATAAATGTTTTGTGATTGTGTGATCAACACCAGCACCACTACAACTTCTATTTTCATTTCCTTACCAGATTTAAGTCAGAGTAGTAGATCCAGGACCGACAAGCTGCTTCTGACTGCAGAGGTCCTGATCGCCTGTTTGCATACCAGACGTATATATAACTGTTATTTGGCTGAACTTGGTCATCTTCCTTAAACCAAGCTGTAGATTCATCCTCGTAAATGCTTCCCTCAGAGGATTTTTCATAGAACAGTCCATGAGCATGGAGGGAATATGGTCTGGAGGCCAGATTCTTAAAATGAACCTGGAAAAGAAAAAAATTAAAATTCAGACCTAAACCGAAGTCCCCACATAATACATTCCCATGACCTCAAACCAGGGCCAAGATTTGTATGATGATTACAGGCTACTGTGTGCATGGCAAAGCTGACAGGGAGAGCTTTTGACATCTCCATGCCGAGTCACCTTCTTTGATGCAGGCAGTCAAGTAAAAACCAGAAAGCATGAGTCTAACTCCCTGTCTTCCACTGCATCCAGGTCCCTAGGAATTTATTGCTACCCTTCACATCTGGATATGCTTAGTTACAGCAAGCAGGGAGACTGGGAGTTTCTACCTCTTATGCTTAGCTGCATACTCGCTTGTAAGGGCACAAACCAGCAACACCAGACCCCTGTGTGTATCACTCTCACCAAGATCAGGGCTTCACTCTTGTCCCAGAGAAGCAGGAGGACAGGGAGATTACGTGTTTCTCTCTTAGAGAATCATCCCCCTGAGCTAAACCAGCCTTTTTCTTCTCTTACTCATGTTTTTAAACGTAGTTCAGTGTGTTCCTACTGCACACTCCTACTGAAATAAGCAGAAAGGAGCAAGGTTTCCCTGTGTGCTGGAAGACTGGATGGAGAATGATGAGAGAAGGGTAACTCTACAGCAACGTGCTCCCTAATGCAAATATACCACTGTATCACCAGGGATATAGTTCCTCTCCATCCTTGTTGTGGTATTGGAATTAGCCAAACCATTTACAGCAAAATTTTTCAGAGGATAATATACTTTTGAGACAAATAGAGTCAATTTTAATTCAAGATGAATATATTATTTCTTTTAAAAAAATTAAGCAGCTCTGTTTACATATGAAGAATAACATTTTCAGTGCAGCCTGGGTTTAAAAAACTTGATTTTTTTAAATGTTAAACTTAAAACTCATTTTAGATTAGACTAATAAGCCAGTACTTAATGTTGGGAAACATAAGAAAAACAGAAGTGAGTTTACCATGAATAGGAGAGAAAAAGGACACGTTTCAAAGAAACACATCACTCTGCCTGCATGTTCACTGCAGTTTCTAGCTTTGAAAACTGTTTCCCCATCATGATCTTTTAAAAAATGGTAGTATTTTTAGACCCATTCTTTGTCACACTGTAAGATCGACATAAGAATCTTATCCTGCACACATACTCAAAACATTGACCTACTAGGATAACATCGTCCACTTCAGCCCGGATGACTGGTCCCAGGATGCCAAGGTGTTCTTTATACTCGTCTTCATCCTGAAGAGTCATAAACGTACTGTCTGTATAGCTTTGGAAAATCACCTTGTATGTGGTGCCGTCTTTACAGGTTTTGTCATTCATCATTGTACTGAAAGGAAATCCCCAATTAAAAACCCACACAGTGAATTGGAAATAACAGCTTTGATGAAACCTGAGAACTCATCAGCAAGAAGAGTTTAGGATATAAAGAATAAACACACAAATATATGTCATGTGATTCTGAAAATCATGACTTTAAGCAATTCTAGTTCTACAGTTGTATGTGAGATCCTTCAAAGATTTGGTCAGCTACAACTGAAAAATTCCAACTAGTCTCTGAAAACCCACCTGAGCCCTATACTCCTTTTTTACCATTAGCCTTAACAACCTGAAACAGAGCTTAGCTCAGAGTGCAGTGAGCTTACTACCTACACCCTACTGTCTCACAGGTGTACCTTCACTGGACAGCTAACAGAAACAGTTCTTAGCCTGGATTATATCCGCAACACAGAGCTGGTATGGAAAAGTAAGATTTTAGGCATTCAGACCATCCCTCAGATCTTAAACAAGCACCAAAATACTATTATTCTGCTGAAACATATTTTATCATTTCCTATAAACCTTGCCTCATTAACAGCTCTGCAAAAACCAGAAACTTAACCAAAGTCATCAAAAGCAGGGAGAAAGGCTGGTTTTCAGCTCTTCAGCACCCTTAGACGGTATATGCCGGGGGCTCTGTTCATTCCTGGAACTATGCACCTCAGAGCAGCAGAGGCTGAACCTCCCTGGGGAGACCTATAGAGAGGTCTGAGCATAAGGATTTCTTTATGTTGCGAGTCTGCAAAGAAACTGTCTGTGGTTTCTGCCACATTTTTGCAAGTGCCATTCATATGGACTGAGACGAGGCAAGGGTAAGCCTTGGGAATGCTGAAGACATGTAGGGGGAAAAATATCAATCAAATAAACTGGAGATTCAAATTGAGAAATAATATATGCTTGGAGCTGAATATAAAGAAAGTTTTCTTGCTCCTGTTTTTGCTGGTTTTGATAAAGTTGTGGCAGTTTTGGTCTTGTTCATTTCAAGGGCCACAAAGTTCAGTTTCTTGATGAAAAGTGTCTAGGAATTCTACACATTGTAGGGTGAGCACTGATCCTGATCTGTATGAATTAAGACAATGAATTTTTAGTGCAGAGTTTCTCTCAAGTCACACATACTCTTTGCTGTGGCATAGCGACCTGTCTTCCCTGTCAAAATGTAAGAAACCCCCTCAACATTAGGGTTTGTGTTCCTATCACTTTGATTCCTTTAAACAGTAGGAACAGCAATGCAATAATTCACACAGCTCTGTTTTTACTTTAAGTCTAAGGCAGTCACCAAAGTGGTTAATCACTTTGCACCTTTCATATATTTTTCAGTACGGCAGCTGTGAAGTCGGAAAGTGCTATTATCCCATTTTACAATACAGAACGGAGACACCAGAACCGCTTCTTGCTAGTGCTGGAAACTGATTTCATTCTGCCTATATTAGATCAGTCATTCCATTAAATTCCTGGAAAGACTTAGTACAAGGAGGTCTCCGTCCTGTGTCTACTACAGAATCCAGAAACTCGGGAAGAAAGTAAAACAGGTTATTCAAGTATAACAAACCTAACTGTGAGTTTCCCTCTTGACCTCTTAAAATGGGGTTTTCAACTTCTGTTTTAAAGAGTGTTTCTAGTGAGTCTGCAAAAGAGGGTTAAGGAATACAGGGGTGGAGGGGAAGAGTGCTTAGTTGTGTTACTCTTGATTATAGCAAACTCCCTGTATGACATTCTAGAAGGATGCCAGCCTCCCATGGAAAATTCTTAGGGTTCTGCAATTGAAGTGTTGGAAACCACACTGCACATTACAGACTCTCTTAGGTTTATCAACACGCGAATCGACATTCCGCCAGCATGCATCAGGATGGTGTGCCAAACAAAAGCAAATGATTTAGCCAAACCTTTTTTTATATCCTGCGTAGTTCCAGCAGACCTCTTTCGCTGCAATATAGTATCTCCTCTCGTTGCCTTTGCTACGCAGGTAATGTTCGGCAATGTAGTCCGGGTTACGCTCTTCGTGCACATTCACTTTTGGGTCTGTCATGTACGGGTCATCAAAGCTCACATAATGGTATTCGTATTCACTGCCTGACATTTCCTCGCTGTAAGATCCTTCCGTAACGTATTCGTAGTCTCCATCTTCTTGGGGAAGCCCAATGGTGATGGATGGCTTAAGGTGCCGTGGGGTGAGCGTGTAATTTAGCGACTCACCGTGCCCGGCTCTACTCGGATCCACTGTTTGGTTGGCCTCACCGGGTGCCCCTGTGGCGTTAGTGCGATACGGCGGTGTCGTGTGGTTGGTCTCACCTGGAAACAATGTACGGCCAAACCCTGCCATAGAACGGGTGGGTTTCTGGGGACTTTTACTCCTTGGGCTCAGCAAGTGGGTCATTTTTGGATATTCTTTCTTTTTCCTACGTATCTTGATGAAGGTTCCAGATAAAGTATCATTCTTGTCCCCTTCCTTTCTTTTCAGAGTTGGGTGCATGTGGCTGCCTTTCTGATTTTCTCCCATTAGATGTGGGAACCCTTGATACTTCCTCACATGCTTCTTGTTTATGAATGCTGTACCATTTCTGCCACGATGATTTAACTTACCACTGACAGATTTATCTAAATTTGCCTCTAATCCCAGACTCCCCTTTGCAGAAACCAAATTCCATTCCTCATTTGTCATTTTAGATGAGTATTTCCCAGACCTGGGCACTGATGCTTCTAGTAAGTTCTTCACTAGCGCAGGGCTGGAATTAGGGTTTACATTGCCTAACGTATGATCTAAAGAAAAAGTGTCTGCATGTTTATCTTTGGATAGCTTGGGTTCAGAGAGGCTGGATGCATCAGACCCATCTGCCACGGGGTCCAAAGCAAGCGTCAAGTTAACTGCAAGCATGGCATTTTCCATCTTGCTTTCTTCCTCTTCCACTTCATCATCATAATCATGTGGAAGCTGGCCTGTTCCCACCATGGCTATAGCAGAGGTGTTCTCTGCATGATGCACAGGACGAGGCGCACTTGTCTCGTCAGAAAATGACGCATTTTTGTTTCGGACATGATTTAGAAGGGCGCTCATCTTTTGGATGGAATAAAACTTAACAGCCAGTGAGTTTCGCTTTTTCCTTTTACTGTTAATGCTAGAATTTCCTCGCCCTGTGCTGTCTTCCTGCTTTTCTGAAAAAGAATTACTGTCTTTTCCATCAGTTGGAAGCTCTTCTGCAACATTCAGTTTTCCTTCCCCACTGCCCAGCTTATAGGTGTCTGTGGATTCACTACCATTTACAGCCGTCAGACCTGAGCCAGCTGCCACCTCCAAACTCGCAGCATCACTGCCTTCATACTGTTCCATGGCCAGTGCTGTAAGGTTTTGTTTTTCTTCATCGCCTGTGGCATTCCTTGAGCTTCGGATGGAGTAAAAAGAAGCCAGGTAATCCTGATAATCCAAATCCTCCTTATCTCCTTCTTCTTCCTGCACATCTTCTTCAACTGAGGTGGAAACAGCTTTTTTATCAGTCCTGGTGTAAGAAAGATCCACAACATCAAACGTGTAATCTTCCTCATAGTCACATCTGGCATCTCTGAACCTCAGCCTCATGCCGTAGCTCATCTCTGGGGTACCCCAGGATGCTAAAAGCCAAGTACCTGCAATTGAAATAAAAGCTTTTTTCTAACACGCAGTGGTTATGACAGCGGACATTCGTGTAAGTGGTCAGGACAAGTTCCTGGGTTGGTTTCTCAGCACCTGCTACAAGCAGAGTGCTAATCCTCATCTGGGATTTCCGTGAGCCCTCACTGCAATGAAAAACTAATTAATAAATGTAAATAAATAGTAACACACATAACTAAATACATCTAAGGAGCTCTTCTCCACAGGGTAAGCTGTACGTAGGACCTGAGTCCAAACACAGCCCATAAAAGAGAGAGAGATATGAAAAAGAATGAAGCAATACAAAGGATGCTATGTTTGGATCTAGGATTGGAATCTTCTGAGATAAGGTTTTAATTTTGTCCTGCCCTTAGTGTTGCATGTCTTGCCACACAGACAGAGCACTCTCAACAGAACAAATCCATTTTGAGGCAATGTTTACAAACTTCTGACAAACACAACATTTTAAAGTCTTCTGAATGCATAAAGGGAGATCTTTAAAAGAATAAAGTAATTTGAACTTCCAATCTGGATGCAAAACATTACGCTGTCAATCTGAGGCATCTTAGATTGAGTTAAAGGTTTTAGTAATTCCTCCTAAACCTAGTCAGAAGGTAAGTTCTGTATTTGAAACTAGGAACTGCAGAAAACGAAATACAATCTGTTTCCCTACGCAGCATCAAACCAAGTTATTTTCTTGTTACAGCTTGGTTTTGGAACTAGCAGAAATCATAGAGTCACAGAATGGTTTGGGGTTGGAAGGGACCTTAAAGACCATCTAGTTCCAACCCCCCTGCCATGGGCAGGGACACCCTCCACTAGACCAGGTTGCTCAAAGCCTCATCCAGCCTGGCCTGGACAGAATGGATGAGTGACAGAATAGACAGAATTAACAGAGCTTGAGAAAAGCAGCCCTTTTTAATAAAAGGCCACATACATTTTTTCTGTATTTATCAGTCTGACGTGACCTGCATAGCTTTTCTTATTACTAACAGCAGCAAATTTACAAAAGAAACACGCCCTAGCTGGAAAGAACAGATCACATACCAAAATCAAGCTAAAGTACAACTGCATTACTGGAGAGGTTTTCATAAAGTGTGATAGAGTTCTGATGATTCCTTAGTCTTGAACAATAAAAAACGCTTAACATAAAATACATTTTTAACTTATAACGTCTTGATGCTGTGTGATCACTGAAAACAAGGACAAAGGATTTGTTACTTAAATAGGGGGAAAAAATTATTGGTATTTTAAATAGCATAAGATAACTGAAGTTTGTGGGATTTTAGGATGATCACTAACCACACACAGCTTTCAATGAGGAATAACCTCTGTCCTTTTGCATGTAATTCCATAAATGTGGATTACATGGGTTCTGGCATCACCTTTTCAATATATGGCATTAATCCTAGTCTGACACTGAGATGTATACCGACGGACCAGTGAGCCCACTCGGTCAGGCAGACTTTGCTGCTGGTAAACGACCACAAGTCTAAGGCGAGGTGTAGCCACTTTGTCCAGTAATGACTAGCATAAATTGACAGTCTTGGCCCATTTTAGCTAACACAGAATGGACAAGTGTGTGGCCAAATTAGGAATCAAACAGTGGAGTTAATACTGAATTGTTTTTAAAGACAGTCTTAGAATTGCCTTAAAATGATCACTGCTAACCCCAATACTACTTGCAAAGTGAAAAAAAACCCAATAACAAAATGAGCCTCAGTACAGCATACAATTATGCTATGTGTAACCAACAAAACTCCATACACATCCGTTGCACCGGGTAATGATTCAACATTTTCCAGCACTGTGTTTATCTGTAAAGCTTTCTTTCCTATTTAGGTAAGTCCTTACAGACTGGAGGTTAAAAATGTCTTAGAAGAGATGCCAAACGCTATAGTTTTACCACTTACCGACATTGTCCATTTCCACCGTGACCGATTCTCCACTCATCGGGAAAAGGTTCAACACATCTTCATATTTCCCTTGGTTCAGAAAAGAGTGCCCAGACAGGCGAACAGAGACAATCTCATCATGAGTGCCAACACTGGAGAAGTGCCACTGAACCACGTTATCTTGGCAAAATCCAAGGATTTCACTGCTGTCAGACACATAGCCATTTATTGCTAAAAGGAAAGCAAAATAAAAGTGGTCTCAATATTTTCCAGAGTAAGACTTTTAAAATCTCTGTTCTTTGATGCCACTCCACTGAACTGGTCTCACATTTGTGCCTGGAAAGAGACTGGCACAGGGCTGAAACCTCAACAGCCTTGATGGAGATTCCAGCTCTAGAAATAGTATCTCTAAGGCAGCAGGGTGCTGCATCAGAGTTAAATAACCCTTGTCTTTTCTTCAGGGTCCAGAGCCAGCCTGGTCCCTAAGATATTGCATATTTCTGTACAGTGCCACCTGGCACAGTTAGAGGTTTACTGACTCTCTAGAGAATTCCCCGATTGCACTACATCTGAGAAAAAGCAATCCCTGAATGCTCTGGTTCACAGGAGGTTTCATAATATTCAGCGTGATATCCCACTCACTGTGCATTATGTTCGAGTTATAGAACTTGGGATCGTCCCTTTTAACGCTGGCAGGGTTGCTGCAGTAGTCCTTGATGTTATCCTCTAGGTACCAGCTCTTATTTTCATCAAACACAGCAAACATTGCCTGCTGCTCCCCATCTGCCTTTTTCTGAAAGACAAATAACACAGCAGTTGCATTTTATGAGCAGAGACATGTATTAAGGACTCAATCCTACCATGTAAGCAATATAAGCTTCACCAGAATTGTGGTAAGTGTGATCCAAGCGCTAAATGAAAGGGATTAAGGAGTCAAGAGTTCAAGGTGACAATCCTACTATTAAAACCAAGTAGTGGAGCACTGAGCAAGCCACTAGCACAGCTGATACACAGATGGTATACGACTGGGCTCTCCGTAAAAGGACCAGCCTCCTGGTTTGTCCTGAGCACAAGCTTTTGACATTTTTTCCTCCCAAGCAAGATTTCAACGGATGGCAAAGAGAACCACTCTCCCAGAACTCTTCCCTGCTGTTTGGGTTGCTCTGGATTCAGTGATGCCTGAGACTGTGAGAAGCCTTGAGTTATATCTGTTACAGAAAGGAACCAGCTCATATCTGAATGTCTCTAGAGTGTGAAGTGGAATAGCAGCAGGAAAGTTTATTATCAAGTCCAGAAACAGACATTCATGTCAGGCTGACCTTTTGCTGAAATGCTGCTCTAAAATAATCAGAATATAATTCCTCTACCGCTGCGGACAGTTAGAGGAGTCTTTCTTCAAGTCATTTCTTCAGGAACCTACCGGCTTAATTGCTCTCTACACGACAGTTCTCTAAAGGGAGCAAAACCAAATTCCCTATAGATCAAATAATATTATTTGAGCGAAATCTATCTCTAAGAGGTTGCCAAACACGTTACCTGCACACCCTTCTGTGTCAATGCTTCACTTTTACAAATCAGAAGTGGGCCAATCAGCCCAGAGGCTATATCTCTCTCAGTATCTACAGCACTGTGATACAGCCTTGTAATGCATTGTGCATCCCGTGCAGTGGGCTGGTCCGTTTTAGTGATTTTCCATTCGTAAGTGTATGTCTTCCCTGGTTCAATTCCTCTGCTCTGGGTGCTGTTGCCTAAGGAAAAATAAAGGAGAAGAGAAATTATACAAACTTAGGGCCAGATCTTCATATAAGGCTGCCCCTTTTAATGAAACTGGTGCAGTTACGCCATTTCAAGCTACCTCAGAGACAACTGA